TCGGTGCTTCTGCCAACTGCCTCGCAAGCGCAAGGTCCCAAGTTCGATCCTTGGTACCAAAAAAAAAAAAAAAAAAAAAAAATCATTGAAAAAAATTAAAATAATGAGTATAAACTAATTAAATATTGAGTTAAGTAAGCTTTGTCAGAGTTATAATTATTTTAGAAAACGTCATGTTTTAGATGTGTTGGGCATGTGATATATACCCTTCACCTATTCATTTAATCTACTCTGCAACTCTGAGAGGCAGATGCTATTGTCTTCATTTTCATAAAGAGAAAATTGAGGCTGAGAGAGATTAAATATGTTGTTCAAAGCCTCCAGCCAAGTACATTGCAGAGCTAGTATTTGACCCCAAATCTTTCTGACTATAAATCACTGAATTTAAGCAGAACACTAGAGTGCATCTCATATAGTTTTTCCTCAGTTTTTTTTTAAAAGATTAACTTTCAAATACATAATAAATTTCTGTAGGTTTCTGCAGAGGTCGTTTTATTGCCACATTTATTCTGACAATAAGTAAGGTAATTTGACATTTTAAATTAGCAACAAATCTCGAATACTTAATTCCAATGTGAACCTGTTGAGAAGAAAAAAATGACCCAGTGAAAGCTTTTTTGGCACAGAGAATTTTTACCCAGAGGAAAATCCAGACCGTCAACAGCAGGAAGAAAATTACCGACTCTCCTAAGCCTAAGACTAAGTGTCACTTTAAAATTTTCCACCTCTATGGTCCCTTCTGCTGCAGCTGGCATTTTTAAAAGGTGGCGGTAGGGAGCCACACTACAGAGAGTTCTGGAAAATGTCAGGTTTCTCTTTCCAAGCACTGCATGAGTCACTGATTTTGCGAAACATTGAGACATAAAAGCATAGCAGTGGATTAGCACATCTTTGGGAACTGCTCTTTCCCTACAAGCTAAGAGTTTCTACAGCAGAACAGATACTGGGCTCATGCAAACTTGCTTTTCTTTGGCATTAACACATCAAGGCACTGAAAGAATGAAAAGTGGTGAATACTATTTCACATCTTCTCTTGGGAGGGGCCCTACCAGCTTTATTATTAATTAGTGTTTTATAGCTCATGGTCAGAAAAAATAATGACCTTGGGCACTCTCTGTTTGACTAAAGAAACCATTTTTTTTTTTTTGGAGACACGATTACAGTAAAATAGATGTGTTAGTTTCTGGATCCTTGTTCATTACCACTAACTTGGTTGGCTCCCTCTCTGGCCCAGGTGTTTGATTAAATTTAACAGTTGAAGAGATGCCAGTACAAGAATTGATTAGTTACAGTCTGAAGATGGTAAGATCTCACAAATAATAACCATCCATAAAACGGTAGTATCATTTTATTTCCTCAGTTTTAGATTAGGAGAGAGTTAAATGATAGAGGAATCTGTGGGCTACACACCCCCCTTCTACCTCTACCATCTGTGCTGAGATCTTCTTGACCGTCACCAAACCCAAACCTCATATATGAATAAGAGTTGACATTAAAAAGTACTTATCACAGGGCGGGCACGATCTTAAGCATTTTATATAGATTGTCTCATCTTGCTCTCTGTATTAGTCTGATCTTTATTGTTATAACAAAATACATGAGGCTAGGTACTTTATAAAGAAAAGAGGTTTAGTTAACTCACAGTTTTGGAAGCTGAAAATCTAAAATCGAGTGACTCTATCTCTGCTCTCAGAGGTTTGGAATGACTCCATGGTGAGAATATGTACAAGAGGAAAAGATCACATGGTAAAGAAGAAGCCAGAAAGATTCAGGCATTAACTTTGCTCTTTTAAAACCACCTACTCTTGGAAACTATCAGGGTTAATCTCTTCCGAGGACTATACCTTCATAGCCTAACTAACTACCTTCCATTAGGCCTCCACCCCTGAAAAGATACCACCATTCTCCACACTGCCTCACTGGGGTCCAAGTTTCTAGCACATGAAGCAGTGAAGAACACACTCAAGCCATGTCCAAACCAGAGCACCCTCATCATCATCCTAGGAGGCTTTCCCAGGAAGGTGGGCAAGAGAATCTCTTGAGTTACGTGATTTTTAAATTGAAAGTAATAATTTCTCATGAAAGATAATTTTAATTTCTGGGCCAGTGATTTTATATGTTATTCTATTTTTGGAAAACAGAAGACTACTGGAGAAGTATAACATAATCTTACTGGGTATTTTTCATAAAGCTGGATCATGGATGAACATTAGAAATATGATCCCAGTGGGGAAAGCATAGGACGTGAAGTCAGATGTTCTGTGTTTGTCATAGCTTTCCACCTACTAGGTAGGGGGTTGTGGAGTCATTTTGCTCCACTGTAATTGATTTTAAAATGAAGACAATAATCTTATTTTTATGCAGCTGCCTCAGGGACTGGACCAGTGATTTTCATAGCCTAAGTGCCTGGCAAGCTCCCAGTCATTATTTATTAGGTAAATAAAGGGATGGGTGGATTAGTGACTACTTCTCCCATTTTTCCTTTCTTCTTATGTCCTTCCTCTTCTCCATTCACTGCATGGATCTTGTTAATGTTCTTCAAACACAGCAAGCTACTTCCTGCTTCAGAACCTATACATGTGCTCTCGGGCTGCCTAAACCACACATTGCCCAGTTGCTGACCTGATTGATTCTTCACGAATCCTAACACTATTAACAGTTATAGAATGTATTACCTGATTGTAAACCGCTTCCTTCTCAAGACTTTGTTTGTTCACCTGGATGCAAATTAAAGGCTAGTTATTGTTATTAGTGCCCCTCTTGCTGGTCTTACTGATTCACACCTTTGAGTTTGTTTAAATTTGAATTGAACACACAAGCTGGATGGGGATCTTTTTCATTTATAGTTCTGATAGATATCTTTGAAGAAACGGGGTGACCTAATTTAAAGGAGGGAGATGATTTTTCTTTGCAAGTAAATGTATATCTCAAAAAGAAATGTTCTCTAAATTCATTGGAACAGATAACCAAGAAGAGTTAAATTGTCATTCCCAATTCATGATAACTCAAAAAAAGTGAGTTTATAACATGTTGTTTTGATTACTAGTTTATGTAACAGTTTTATTGAACTGATTCCAAAGCAATATGTTCCAAAGTAGTTTATATGAGGACACTAATAAAGCAGCATACCAAGCAAACAGACCAACCAATATCTGGGCTGCTAACATAAACCATTTCCATCGTCATCTTGAAGACTTTTCGAATTCTGAAGTCTAATATGACTCAGGAAATCCAAGAGTTCAAAATTCACAAGTTAAGTCCAAGGCAAGGTCATTCAATGCAAGGACTTCACCCTTTATCTCAAGAGCAATTTCAAGGACCACAATGATGTGCATTTCATAATTAAAGCAGCAGACAGTTGAAAAAGAGCCATCCGCTTAATACTTAGTACTCTACTCATCTGAAAGCAACTGACAAGCTCTGGTTCTGAGGAGAAAGGATTTCCAAAACCTTTGTATTCCCAAGTAAAATGCTGATAGGTTCTAAAATGAACCTGACTCACACTGACTTGCAAGTGAACAGATATCCTTGAATTGCTTTCTGGCTGCATAAATTCCTTTGGTTTGCAACATGAACAGTTTCCAACAGGATTCCTGAAGAGTCAGAAAATCATAATATTTAAACAAAGTTAGCTCTGTTCTAAACTTATTACTGATTTTTTTTTTAATTTTTTTAGGCGTCATGCACAAATTAGTTCTTACTTCTCAGAGAACAATTCAGGAAGATCATTGAATACTGAAGAAAACACATGTAGCTGTTAGGAACCAACAGAAAAATAAAACAAACCTATGTAGTATATGTGCTCTTGAAAAATTAATTGATTTCCTTTGCCAACTTCTCACCAAGGGTAAATTTAAATGTTTTCTATTTGGACCATATATGAAAAAAAAAAAGATCAGAAAGGGCGTCTAGAAATGAACTAATAGTAATATTTATTTATTCATTGTGGTGCTGAAGACTGAACTCAAGGCCTTTGTACTGAACTGTATCCCCAGGCCTTTTTTTAAATTTTGAGACAAGAGTCTCGAGAAGTTATTCAATTTCCCAGGTGGAGCTCAAAATTGTGGTCCTTCTGCCTCGGTCTCCCAGTATGCTGAGATTACAGGCATGACCGCTATACCTGGCAATAATAAACATTTATTATAGCTATTGTATGTCCCAGAAGACATTTAGTTATATGTAAGAAGATGCCTAGCAAGCAAATGCCAAGCAAGCTTAATTTTTGCTGACTTGGCATTGTTGGGGAAGTGGCTGACAGAGGGAAGAAGGGTTTGTTCGAACTGAGAGGAATGATAAGAGATGGGAAAGTTGACAACTCAGGAGCCTTACAGTCAGGTACAGCCATAAATCTCAAAAACAGCAAACTTCAAATTATCCATATGGATTCCAATAAATGGTTGTGAAACCAAAAAGAAAGGGAGGGGGTGAAAAAGTAAATGCAAGAAAGAGAGACATGCCATGTTTCCAGCACTGTTTCTTCTTTCCTTCATTCAGCAAGTATTACTAAGTCCCATTAAGAGGAGCTAGGAGTAGTTCCAGCTCTTCGTTATGTGGTGGTAACGACATGCAATGTGCCCTCCTGTTCTTGCTGCCCAATGCAGAAAATCTAATTAAAGGAAAAAAACATGTTACGTAGGGAAACGTCAGTGGAGAATGAAAAAAGAAAAGGGAATTTGTAATATTTATATATTTTACAGTACATATTTTTCGCTTTTGTTTCCCTTAACTGGCCTCTTTTCGTTAGGCACATGATTGTCAAAAATTAACTGGTAAAAATCTGACCTTTACTTCTTGCCTTTATTTTGAATTCAGCAATCTAAATTATTGACTAATAAAAAGTATGACATAGCTTGTCACTTCAGAACATGTTGAAACTTGACTTAAAATTGAATATTTAGAAGCATATACCTCACTAGAAAAATACCGAGCCAAAAATCTATGTTACAGGAGAACAGAATTTTCATGGGATTCAGGTATGGATTTATTTGTTGTCAATCTCATAAATTCTCTTCAACAATTTACTTTCTATTCTTTTTTTTTTTTTTTACTATTTGTCACCAGCCTCTGACTCTTCCGGCTATTGTTGACTCTAGATATTTGTGCATTGGCTCCGGACATTACCTATCAGCTCCAAGCTTCATTCCTTTCCTAATTAATGCAATAGATCCCAGTTTCCCCTTCTGTCAATCATAGAATTTTGGAGCCTCAAGGAACTACTTAGAAATCCAACCCTTAAGGCAATCAAGCCTTCCTCCTTGATCATTCCTCCTAAACAGGCTCTTAGTGTCATCAAATCTTCCCCAGATTTCCTGAATTATCACTCCCCACTGAAGACTGTTCAGCCTTTGTTGAGTGTTTAAAGCTGTCTATGCAGGTTTTCACCCAAGGCCCCAACACTGTCCACTTTGCTTTCATTGATGCAAAATCTATGTTTTGAGCATCTCTTTGGTACCAGAGGTTTGACAGTAAAATGACCACGTCACAGCCTGGTCCTCTGGTGGCCCAGTGTGGGGGACGAGTGCGGGAAGAGCTGAATTTTCGTTGAGAATCCTGGAGACAGAGGCCCTCCAGGGAGCCTCTTGGTCAAGCGCCCCAGTCAGCTGTGCTGTCAATTCTTCCCCGGTGCTGACTAAGGTAGTTTCTGCAGCTACACCACAGCCCACTCTTGCTCACACTCCGTGACTTTTTCCGTGCTTTTGGTTGTGTGCAGAGTGTCTTTTCTCGGTCTACTCCAAATAAATTAGTGTTTCAAAGATCAGACGAGATGCCTTAAGTCTCATGGTCTTAAATCTCTCTCATTTGAATTCCCATGGCACTTTGTTATATTTCCTTTCTCATTTCAACCGCATCTTTGCTTGCATTAGTTTATTAATATCTTCTCTTTTTCAACTGTCTCCCCCTTATTAAGATCAGCAGCTGTGACAAGCATCATATAGCTCTGGATATATAAACCAAAAAAAAAAAAAATCACAAAATAGATGTTAAGGAATGTTCTCCAAAGTAAAATAACATAATAAATTGCACATCAAACCTAACTGTCAAATACAAATGGATTCCCACTTAGTTGCGATCAAATTACTGTATCAATCACTACAAAACTTAATGACAGTCGGGAGAATTACCACCAACAGACGAGGGCCCCTCAGCCTCAAAAGGGTTAAGCAGATTTATCTACAAAGGGAAACAATGTTTTTCATTTCCCATCATGCAAGATTAATTCTAGGTCTTTCGATAACTAAATGAACATATTGTTTATGCTCCATATACTTTCTGCCCTGAGTCTTGGAAAACATATGAAACTTCCAAGAATGAAAGTTTTTCCATTAACCACAAGTGCCAAAATCAGGAGGTTTGACCTGCGGGAGAAAGCGCATTTGTCTCTGCTGGCTCCCTTTCAAAAGCTGTAGAGAGATATTTACTGTATGATGTTTCTCATACGCAATTGCTCTGTTTTATCGGTCAGACAATCTGGGCAGGGAGAAGCGGCAACCTTTCAGAAAGCAACCAGTTCCTGAAGACCAAGGACCAGTTGAAAGTCAAAGTTCTTCACTGTAAGAGCTTGTTAGTGGTTTCTTTTTTCTTTGTCATTGTGTTTTTTGGAGAGACGAGAGACGGGGGGGGGGCGGGGGGGGCGGGGCGGAGTTTGTGTGTAACTCCCTGAGAACGAACTGGTGCAGAAATGGTTTACGATGGTGGGTTTCAGAACACCTTCCACTTGTCTCTTCCCTCCCACAAGGAAACTCATAAATAAACGCGTGCGCGCGCGCAGCCTGCACTCCTCCGAAGAACATTTTCCCTCCATCTGCTTTTAGTCCATTTGAAGTAACCAAGTGATCTTCCCAGGTTACAGAATAAAATAAAAATTAACAAAGTAAAAGATCTCTTTACGTCAGTAATCGTGGACTCCAAGTTCTCTCCTTCCAGCCAAGAGCCTTCTTAAAGCCCTGCGCGTCCCGCGGCGGCGCGGCGGCTCCCGGGCCCGCCCGCCCGGCTTGGCTTGGCCCTCCCCCGGCCGCGCCTGCACGCTTCCCTCCCGCCCACCTCGCCACCCCGCCACCCCGCGGTCCGGAGGTCGGGCGCGCGTCAAAACCCCGCGGCGAGGCTGATTTGTGCTGCCTATCCCCCATCCCCGCCCTCCTCCCCCACTGCGAGCCGCCCCGGGAGCTGATCGGAGGGGGAGGGAAGAGCTGCACCCAGCCCTTCCCCAGCCCTTCCCGCGTGCAGACTCGGTCGCACCTTTTATTATTTTAACGCATCTCCCGAGCACCAGCAGCCCTCTGCGCCCGCGCCCGGATGGGAGCGCCGGAGCCCCGCGCGCGGTCGGCGGGCGGCCGGGAGGTCGGGGCGCCGCCCGGACTCTGTAAGTTCCAGCTGCGCCCGCCCGGGAGGGAGGCGGGGACCTCTCAGGAACCCAGGCTGTCCGCGCCGCGCCCGCCTGCGATTTCCATCGCACGGCGGAGCGGAGCTTCACGGGGCTGGACCGACTCTTCGCACGCTCCTTGAAACTCCGCCGCAGCCCTTAGGCTGTTGTCCAGGTTTTCTTGTGTGTCCGATCTCTTTACTGGAGAGAATTTTTCAATGCATCATGCGTCCACGAAAAGGGGTTTTGTTTTTGGATTGTTTGGGGGGGGGGGTTTACATTGCACCTCGCACTTCCTGCACATTTAAAATAATCCTTCATAATTTTCAAGTTCCACAGCGTTGTAATTTTACAATGCATCTCGTACTTCCTTTAAGATAATGCATAATTTTCAAGTTCCGGAGAATCTCGCTTTATTCTACTTTGTCAGATTACACTTAACATGTTTTTCAAACCACTCAAGAGGACACGGCCTCTGCTTGGTCTCCTTCTAAAAATAACGAAGGAAGAATTTCCCTCTTTACTTTTAATACTGCTACATCATAGAAACACTTTCACGAGTAGATCTTGTTCCCGGCTCGCTTTAGTTTTTCATCGTGGACGCTGCGTGCCTGCATCTTGCGCTAAAATACAAATCCGGTTAATAACAAAGAATTACCTTTGAGCCTCTGTTTACAAGAAAGCTCCTGGTTTTGACTCGGGCTACATCCATATGTATTCCGAGTAATAAGAAAAATTAAAACTGCTGTTTTGATTCAGACCAAAAATTCTCTCTGGGATCCCAAAACTCCAGCACGAGCTAGATTCATGTTTTAACAAAATCATACTTTCAGTGTCGCATGTCGCTTCGCATGTGTGAATATATCCTGAATACAGGGACTACAGAGGCGAGGAAATGCAGGGGTTTTTTTTGTTTGTTTTAAAGTTTTTAATCAACGTTTTCCTTGTGCAGGAGGACAGGTCTTGAGGGAAGGAGAGGCAGGTGCAAGCAGGTGGGTAGCTGGCTATGGTGACGGAAAGATGTTGGCCAGAAAAAGCATCATCCCGGAGGAGTACGTGCTGGCGCGCATCGCCGCCGAGAACCTGCGCAAACCGCGCATCCGCGACCGCCTCCCCAAAGCGCGCTTCATCGCCAAGAGCGGCGCCTGCAACCTGGCGCACAAGAACATCCGCGAGCAGGGCCGCTTCCTGCAGGACATCTTCACCACCTTGGTAGACCTGAAGTGGCGCCACACGCTGGTCATCTTTACCATGTCCTTCCTCTGCAGCTGGCTGCTCTTCGCGATCATGTGGTGGTTGGTGGCCTTTGCCCATGGGGACATCTACGCTTACATGGAGAAAAGTGGCTTGGAGAAAAGTGCCTTGGAGTCCACTGTGTGTGTGACTAATGTCAGGTAAGAATGCAGTGAGATGAGGCAGGCTATTGCGAGCAGTACAGGAGAAAAAAAAAATCGAAATGCCCTTTCACTCGATCGTTTGGTTGAAAGTGAAATAATGGGCTTATTTTAGACCTTCAGAAACAAACAAAAGAAAAGCAAAATAAAGAAAAAAACCTAACACATTACATATCTTTGTAAATGCAGCTTTAGAGATGAAGAATCTCTGAAAATGTGGAGCTTCAGTTCTTTGGGTTGACCTTGAAAGTATTAGATCAGTTATTTTCAGATTGCTTTAGCTCAAAAGATTCCTTACTCTAAAAGCATATATTTAATTATCAGTATGAAAAAGCTGCTGTCCATCGTTCCATTGTCCGCAGTCAACCAAAAATGTGCAGATGCAAGTAATATTTCTCCATGACTTCTTTCACCCATGACATTTTTAAAAATAAGAAAAAGATGATGGCACTAGCACCTTATCTTAACCTAGCTGATTTCTTGATTGGATTCAGAAACTACAAGTTATTTCAGGAATCAGAGCTAGAAAAAATCAATTTTTAATGGGAATTGGCTCAAAATTATCGTGGAAGGCTACTATGTAGGAGAGACTTAATATTGCAACCTTTCAAAGTTTTAATGGAATAGGAATAAGACAATTCTTAGATTACTTTACTTTGGCTTCTTATATAAATATTTCAAAGATAGGTAAAGTGCACTTGATTCCAGTAGTTCACCTCTCACCCTTTCACATGGCCTGAGAACATTTAGTTATTTAGTTGGAGTGATTTACTTCTAAATTTGTTTTATTGGAGATGGAAGGACATGATTTATATCAGTTGCAAAAATTTTCACTTTGAATTAAAACAGTAGTAATAATACTAGAAAAACTTCCAGGATGTTTTCTGAATAATCGTCCAAATTCATGTAATTTGCAAAGCAAAGAAACTTGAGCAAGCACCATTACTACCAGGAGACTGTAAAGAATGAATCTTCAATGACATGAAATCTTAAGAAACTAGCGTGCCACACTGCAAGGAGCAAGCTCAGGAGTGTGAACTTGCCTGCCCTTCATTTGTTAAGGGCGATGCCAGCATTTCAAGGAGGGAGGTAGCATTAGTGTTTGGAGATCACTCCTCAGATTTGGGCTCAGATTTTAGTGAAGGAAAGGTGTATTGATCTACTGTTTTTATCACTGAATAGATATTATTTTCTTTTCTCAAACTTGTCATAAACTTTTGTCTCAAAGAAAATATAGATGAAAAACATAGATGATCATCAGTACACTAGATATAAAGGAAACAAAATCCTGGGTTTAATAGGTATTTGACAGTCAAATATCATCATCCATAATATTGTATTTCTCCATAGGGGACTTACTGACACTGATCTTTGTGAATCATTTTCATATAAATATAAGCATTTGGTAAATATGCAGTTGATACTGATGAGAAGAGATAAAAGAAATGATAATAATGAACCTTGAAAATAACATTTTGCTTACAAGACAAATATATTACCTTTTTCTATGTAAAACAGCATTTAACAATTTTAGAAATATATATTATCAAAAGAAATATCCTTTCAGTGACTTTTAAAAGATTTTTACAGAGCGGATATTAAAGCTATTTCCTGCTACATCCTATTTTTCAAGCAAAATGCTCTGAAACATACTCATTTCCTGAATACATTCCTGCTGGTGTGAACTATGATAAATGATGTCAGCAGTACACTGGAACAAAGATGATTTTGTCAACATAACAGTGTTAGTGTTTTGAACTGCACTTCTTAAAATTATATGACATCTTCTAAAGTGATTTCTATTCTTACTGATTTTAATGTCATGGTACAATTTATACTTTAACCTCAACAGTTTAATTATAACAAACTATATAGAAATGTTTTCAATAAAAGTATAGAAAAAGCAACAGTTATAATCTCTCCTATAAAGAACTGAAAAGATAAGTAATAATACTCCTAATTGTTTGCATTTCTTTTCCTTTTGCATTTTCTTTTGCATTCAATGTCTAGCCACATAATCAAAGTTAATCAAAATAATCAACATAATCAGCATAATCAAAAACAGGAAACAACCTGTTTTCAGTGGATATTTACCAGTATTTCCAAGCACCATTTGACCGTTCTTTTAGGGTGACTCACTTTCTCTTTCATGTAGATGACTTTCTGAGTCAGAAAATAGAAAATAATTTCTCTCTGTCACTAATATTCAATTTAGCGCTCTCTATACAGAACAAAAAAACAGTTAAATGCTTCTATCTCTTGAGATTGTTTATTATGACAGATATAATAGATAATGATTAGGATTAAATTTTCATAAAACAAATTATATAAAGATATGGTCAATAAATACTCTCTTAAACTATTAAAACATTTGGGGATATTCATCATTAGACTTCTCCCTGAATTATGGGACATAATTAGAAATCAATATAGTACCCATGACTCTTCTCTCGTGTTCATGCCTGTTCTTTGTCATATATTTAGACTACAGAATATATCTTGTAGCTATATTCTTATAGTTTATATTCTTGTGGCTGTATCTTATAGCTTATATTCTATAACTAGTGCAGAAAGTAATTATTTTAGTTTTCCATGAATCCTTTCAGCAATAAGAGGGGGAAAAGGGCAACTTCAGCACTCTAGTTAAAAGCCAATCAGTGTCTGTGTATACTTGCTTACCTTTTCTGACTCATGCGAAAGTGCTTTGTGTAAACTAAGGGCTCAAATGTTTAAACATTTTGCTTACTCATTGCGCCTGGCATTAATAGATAGATAGTACTTTGACAGATGGCTGATGCAGGCTTTGGCGTCTATAAAATTTGAGAATGTTGAAGTTGGGTGCCAAAGATAGGACTAATGCTGTTTCTGTGAAGAGGCCATTGCAGTCCTGGATATGGCATTAAATTAATAAATTAATAATAACCAGACGTATCACTTCTCTACCAGGAAGGAAATCAGAATCACCTGAGAGTTTCTCAAAGCATCTTCCCTAGGTCCACCCTGAGCCTCCTGAATCTTGAGTACATTTACTGAGATGTGTAATTTGAAAAAGCTTCCCAGGAAAATCCTGACACTTGTTGGCCCCTTCCCTTTGCCTCTTTCAGGCCAGAATTGAAAGTATTCAAGTTCCTATTAATATATGATCTGGACATAGATATTTACTAATCTCACAGATATTTACTAAAATATAAAGCCTCATATTTTTCCTTTAATTGTTTCAATTCTCCAGACCACTTAGAGAACAAAATGAGGTAATCAATAGATTTCTTTCCAAGTAGAAAAATACTCTCTTTATTAAAAATACTAGTATTTTGGAATGCCAAGTTTTAGCACTCTGCTTTCTCTATATAGGATATGCAGTAAATGCTAGCTAATAATTATGATTTTTAAAGTTCTAAAGAAATGAGAGTTCTCTGGTTCCTCAGTGTATTGGGCTCAAGTCTCTTAAACCTGGAAATGCAATACATAATAAAAATCCACCTGGTAGAAAGTCCTACAAAGTACAGTAATTCATTATAAAGTATTTCACAAAGTAAAATATGCCCATCAATATAATTCATATTTATTGTGTATATTTATTATATCCATCCTCTCATACAATCCACTGCTACATAACCTAGACAACATTAATAAAATGTAGATGGATAGATGCATATGGAGAAGGGGGAGAAAAAAAAGGAAGGAGGATCATACTGGTTTTTAGCCTGTAGAAGGAGAAAATGAAAAGCTCAGCTTGGAATATTATTTCATTCTTCAAAACTCTGACTTGATGGCATTGTTTTCTGTATCATTCTTTCCAGGTCTTTCACCTCTGCTTTTCTCTTCTCCATTGAGGTTCAAGTGACAATTGGATTTGGAGGGAGGATGATGACAGAGGAGTGCCCTCTGGCCATCACAGTGCTGATTCTCCAGAACATTGTGGGCCTGATTATCAATGCTGTCATGTTAGGCTGTATTTTCATGAAAACAGCTCAGGCTCACAGAAGGGCAGAGACGTTGATTTTCAGCCGCCATGCGGTGATTGCTGTCCGAAATGGCAAACTGTGCTTCATGTTCCGAGTGGGTGACCTGAGGAAAAGCATGATCATCAGTGCCTCTGTGCGCATCCAGGTGGTCAAGAAGACAACTACCCCTGAAGGGGAGGTGGTGCCTATTCACCAACTGGACATTCCGGTTGACAACCCAATCGAGAGTAATAACATTTTCCTGGTGGCCCCTCTGATTATCTGCCATGTGATTGATAAGCGCAGCCCCCTCTATGATATCTCGGCCACTGACCTCGCCAACCAAGATCTGGAGGTCATAGTTATTCTAGAAGGTGTGGTCGAAACTACGGGCATCACCACACAAGCTCGAACCTCCTATATCGCAGAGGAGATTCAGTGGGGCCACCGCTTTGTGTCTATTGTGACTGAGGAGGAAGGAGTGTATTCAGTGGATTACTCCAAATTTGGCAACACTGTCAAGGTGGCTGCTCCACGGTGCAGTGCCCGGGAGCTGGATGAGAAGCCTTCCATCCTCATTCAGACCCTCCAAAAGAGTGAACTGTCCCACCAGAATTCTCTGAGGAAGCGCAATTCCATGAGAAGAAACAATTCCATGAGGAGGAACAACTCTATCCGAAGGAACAACTCTTCCCTCATTGTGCCAAAGGTGCAGTTTATGACTCTAGAAGGAAATCAAAACACATTAGAATCATGACACCACGACAGCCCTCCGCAGAGCCTTGCACCAAGTGTTGGCAGTTGAGGCACTGAGCACGTCAGACTGAATCAGAGCTGGAGCACAGTAATTTGTCCTGTATTTTCATGCACTAAGTTCTATCTGAGAAATAGCACTTAATAAACAGTAACACACAAAACAGAGGATTTGTGGCTTACGCTCATTTTACACATACAGGATTTGCCATGAAATGCTCAAGACACACATAGGAAATGGTATGTGCTCATTTCTCTCAATTTGAAACACATGAATCCCATTAATAATAATGCAAAATTTGACCAAGGGATGAGCCCATTTAAATGCTTAGTTGGTGAAAGCACAGATCTCCCTTGTTCTATTCCTCCCTCTAGAAAAGCAAATAGGGGGAAAAAGCAAAACAAAATACTGGTAAACACATTTTGTGTATCTGCCTTCTCCTTACTTATGATACTGCACCTGGTAAGAAGCCTAAGACAAATTTCTTAGGTTTATCTGTTTCAAAACAGACTCAGTTCAGTCCCTTGGTCCTTCATAACGACTTCTGGGGGTCTCCTGATCATCTGTATGGCAGAACTGGACAAGGGGTCTTCAGAGAAAAGTTGAGTCCTGTCTCATATAGGACTGAGTTCCCCATAGTGAGTCACTTTCTTCAGCTTCCCACTTCTTAAGGGGCCCCAAAGAGAAATACTGTATTGAATATTTTATTAAAATGTTTTCTTCATATTCTGTAGTTTCGTGTTTCTTCTTTCACAATACCATGTCAAGTTAAAACTCAAAAGAAGATATTTTTAGAGAGGGCATGGAATGAAGTCATTCAGTGATGACCCATCTGAGATTCCTTTCTCAGATCTCTAGATCCAAAAGAATGGCATTGTTTGTGTTGCTTTTGTTTTATTTTGAGTTTTTTACTGATCTGGTGCAGTGCTAGGGATCAAACCCAGGGCCTTGTGCATGCTAGGCAAACTCTCTACCACTGACTAAACCTCATTTCAGGTTTTAAAATATCCTCTTGGTGTTATTTTCTGAGCCTGATATATCACAGAAATCGAGTAAGTTCTGCTTTGAATTTTCCACTTCCCATCTTAAAATTAAACTTTTGTCCTAGTAATATATGAATTAAGACTTGGCAAAAGGAGGTTAGCATCATCTCACTTGCTAAAGTAAGATTTTCTATCAAAGCTTGATTTAATCTCTTTTCGTTCCTGCTACTTCAAGGAATATATGAATAACAGAAGCCCTATATTAATAAGCCGTGTATAGTTTTTTGTATTTCATATAGCTTAATCTGAAAGTGAGGTTATGATGTAGCCTTTTACACAGATTTGGGGGTTTGCTTTTACTTCTTTTCATATATGAACACTGAACTAGGCAGATAGTCATGAATATGTCTACATCCTATTTTGAAAGAGGTATGAGTCCAACCAAGTAAATGGTAATTGTTTATCAAGTTCTCAGCTAATTGTTCAAGTCAGATAACACATAACTGAAAAAGCTCTAACTTTGAACTCCACACTCTTAGATCATGTAGGTATTTGAAGCTCCACTTGGATATCTAGTAAGCATTTAAAAGGAATTGCTGTATCTAAAACCCTGTGCTTCATTCACAAAGGCTTAACACCTTTCCCCAGTCTTCAGTCAGAGTCACATTTAATGCCTGTTTCATGCCCTCCATCTCATCGATTAGCAGATCTCTTGGAATTGCCATCACAATACATTCAGTCTGATGGAGTCTCTCTGACTCTTCCTTTATGGCGGCAGTCATTACCCAATATATATTGATGCAGCTGTACCAACTGTTAGAATAGTGAAAATTCATGGGTTGAGAAAGAAAACCTTAGTAAGACTTAGCCCAACAGCTACTATGGAGGTGAATATCAGACTTTTCAGTAGGTCTGGGACAGGCTTCTGCCTCCTGTTCTATGGCAGCTGAGCAGACCCGAAGAAAGCTGCCACTATAGCAATAAGAACATGCACAGTGCCTGCCTATCTGGTGCTCATAGTAGCCCAAAGATCAGGAAGATGACCAGGCCACAAGGAAGGTAATATTGGACACAGTGGGACTAAGATGTAACCTTTCTGAGCATCAAGGACAAAGCCAGCTGTGCAGCATGGGAAGTTCCCCTAGCCACACACACATCAGCTGCATCCAAATGGCCAGAGCGAATGACCTAATGACCATGTCCTCAAAGGGGACGTCAACAGAAGGGTTTTACAGGGCTCCCTATATCGTCATACCACAAACAAGGACGTCATCTAACTAGTGTTGGCCACATCAAATACAAGAGCCTATCAGCGGCTTTTTTTACTTACTGAATTTAAAAATTATTTCATAGACAATATTAGGTTCTTGGCTTTCATTCCAGTCTTCACACAGCAGCCAGAATATTATTTTAAGTTATAAATGGCATTGCATACCAAAATCCTTTCCAAGGTCCACAGTCACTACATCTTACTGTTACCAGGGTTCCTCTCAATCCCACTGGTCTTTTTGTGCTTTGAAAGGGAGACATGTATCCTGCACAGAGGTTTTCTTCTCCCTGGGGTATTTTCCCCCAGAAAGCCTCATGGGTCTCTCCTGTCACCATGGAGATGACAGTATCATCTTATGCAGTGATACAGTGTAATGTTAAGACATTAGACTCAGTAGCCAGATCCCCTGGTTTTAAATTTCAATTTCACAATTCAGCATCTCTGAGACCTTGATGAATCAATTTCTTTGTGCTTCATTTGACATACAATCAAAATGATCATAGTATCCACCTCATAGATTATTGTGAAGATTAAATGACTTAATGTATATAAAGGGCTTTAAAAGAGTTGAATTCATTTTACCAGGACAAATGTTTGAAATAAAGGACTGTTTCAAAGCAAATTGGATTCTTAATAAATGACTAATTCAATATATTTGTTCTTTAGGACAGAGATAAAAGATCTTTGCAACATGAATCTGATCCCCTAAAAGCAGATACATTTTATCTGCCACTCTGTTACTTTTTCTATTCTATGACACCTGGAAACTTGCCTCTCTTCAAAAATATTGTCATGTGTAAAATTCTCCAACTAGTAAAGGAAAACATTTTGCATGCAGAGTAGATTTCTCTCTTTTTTGGTACCAGGAATCGAACTCAGGACCTTGTGCTTGCGAGGCAGGTGTCGGCACCACTGAGCTAAATCCCTGGCCCTTGAGATTTCTGATTTAATGTGTCATCTGCCGTTTATTCGCTTAGTGATTTGTGTGGATCATCTGGCAAAAATGACCAGGCATGTTTATTTTCTTTAAAGAGGAACAGAAATTGATAGCCAAGGGACATACTAATTCTACTCCCAAGTAATCAGAGAACATGAGAAAACTATCAGGTGAGAAAAACTGGAGTATGTGCCAGGACTGCAGAAGAAAAACTTTTATTCAAAATCAAAATCAAAACCTACCTCTAGTTCCTGAGCAGGCAGGGAAACAAGGGAAGACCCAGAGCAACTGTACAGCTGGCTTTGCTGAAAGCTGGGTGAGGGCAAAGACATCTGCCATCTGTAGAAATATCGTCTTTCTCTCCTTTACTGCATCCCAATCCCACAGTCCTAGTCTATAATTCCTCATCATTTGCCATTGAACTCAACACTCTCCAAGTGAAAGTCCTGTTGCCATGCCCACAGATATTTCTAAACATCCTTGGACAAATGTTCTGACACATAAATGTGTCTCAGAACTCACAGTGTCCCAGTGGCTTAAGGAATTGACCGTAAGTTGCCAAAGAAAGACCAGCTCCTAGAGAGAAGCCAGTTGCAGCACTTTTCCCCTCCAATAGTTGGAGTCATGCTGTCGGTGTTTAATGATTTGGTATTCATGGAGCAAGAAGTTTCCTCTTTGATAATAAATCAATCATAGATAAAGAAGAATGAAAAGATGTCTGCATCTCCTGGGGGTCCCACCCCCAACTTTTGTTATTTTCAGCATGTGGAAGGTAGAGACAGAACCGAAATTTGTGTCTGTCTCCAAGGACCAGTGCATTAAAGTAACCACAACAAATTCTACAGGCTGTTTAAGAGGAAACTCAAGGGCCATGCTCTTCCCATGATCTTTATACACGATTCTCATCAATGGGAACGAGAATTTCCCCACAGACATAGGAAGGATGTGACTCCAATTACACCCCTTGATAATTTACTGCACAGATTCAACTTCAAGTTCATGAAAACCTTAGTCAGCCTTTAACATCATATCAAAATATCACACTGGAGCCAAATTCATTTAGATTGTTTATATCCTCATTTGGATTCTCTGTCAAAAGATGTCCCTGTTCTCATACAGATTTTCTTGGCTGGAGCACATGACACCCGGCCCTCCACTCCAATATTCTCTGGGGTAACTGAAATGAAATTATGGCATTGCATAGTTTATTTTAATATCTTAAAAAAATGGAAAATTAAGGCTGAATTTCAACATACTACTGGATTGCTTCAGTGTGGATCAACACTGATAAAAGTTATCTGTAAAACCGAAGTTAAAACACATTTCTCATTGAAACATTACAGATTAATAGATACTTCCCAAGACTTCAATTATTTACCATTGACTGCTAGAAAATGTCTACACTCTTTAAGAATAATAGTCCAAGTCTCTTTGTGGTTTGATTCTAACACATCTTTCTAGTTTCATTTCCTAACCCCAACCCCAACACCTTGCAATACTTTAAGTTCATTGACTGTTTCACTTACATTGAATCTCTTATGTATGTCTAGAAGTTGTTGAAGTTGAAATTCTAAACCTTCTTTTACCAAAATTATGCTTTCAGAAAACATTCTCAAATTGCCCACCTTTACTATTTCTTCATCCCCATAATGTGTTCCTCTGTATATTGGTGACTTTAGATTTCCCCTCATAGATCAATTACCTAAAATAGAGAGAAAATACATGATAGAAGCCTGATAGTTACCCCCACCCATTCTTCTTTTCTTTATAGCAAGAGTGTGTTAGCCAGACATATGACCATGCAGCTAGAGAC